GGTAATGTTTTACTTCTGCACTGCTTGGAAAGTTGAGAGATGTTTTAGCGAGTGACAAGTTATTGTAACCGTTCTGATGATTTAAGATAGAACTTGTTCAACCTTGATATATGCAATCCCGTATTTTTAAGTGACTAAAACTGTGAAACATTTTTATGTGTGCATCTGTTTTATTTATCAATGCACAGTTATTTGCTGACCATACAACAGAATGCTGTGTTTTGTTCTGCCTCACTATGAAGCTTTATATTTTGAAGAAAACACTGTAACGAAATTCTTAGAGATTGTTAAACCACCTCATTGCAACATAACATGTACCATTGCTTAAAGCATACTATTTAGGATTTATCCCTTAAAGTTTATAGAATTTTAAAAAATTACCAAAAACATTCCAAACTCTCTGATTGGAGCATAAAATGTGTGTGTACATATATTTAGCAAAAATGCTAAAAAGCTTTATGTGTTAATCCTCACATACTTCCAGTGCTTTTAGGAACTAATTAGAACATGCTTTTGTAAAAAAATACAGGGGTAAGACGAAAAAAGAAAAAAAATAAAAAGACAGAGATTTTTACCCATAGCTTCCTGTATTGGTTACTTAAGTCTTCCATTTTAGAGAAAACTCTTAGGTAAAAAATCAGGTAAAAATAGTTTGTGCCAACACACAGTGTGTGTGCACAGTATGAACATGTGTTTTCAAGTAAAGGAGCCAAAACAGCACAGAAATCACCATTCCTATTTTCCATACAGTGTGCACGCATGCACAAGTACACATTCACATCACTTCAAAACTTTTCCAACAAGATTATAGCTACAGCAAGAATAAACTGACTCATTCAGCATCCAGTCCCAAGTTCAGTAATTTGTCAAGAAGAGAAAACTCAAATTCCTTTAGATCTTGATCAAGCTGACAGGAATGATCTCACCACTGAAAAGACCAGAAATTTCCACCAAGATCCAAGAATCTTTTCCATTACCAGAAATATTGTGGAAAAAAAAAAAAAAAAGATCTGGCACCAGTATTGGACAAATTGAAACTAAAAACTGTCATCCCCCACAAACAATTGCACACTGAACTCTACGTTAACAAATGACTAAAAATATATAAAGTAGAATGCATTTCTAGTCCCCCAACTCATAAGATTGTGTTCACAATGACAGTTAAGTGTAACATGGGCCAAGAGCCCTTGCTCTTCTTTCCATGGCTGACATAATAACCACGCTTACTGAGCACTGCATCAGAAATAATATGCCTGGTTGTAAACATGCCACCTCAGTTTCCTATAAACAACAGGCTAATATTAAATGTAGAAAATAGTAAGTTTTCAGTATCTGAAAACAATACAAGGACTTAGAGCAAAAATGGGATCCTTTGGTTTTAGGGTTTAGGATTTTTTTTACATTTATTCTCCAGCTGATTAGCTAGTACTGCATCTAGCTCTGGGGCCCCCAGCATAAGAAGGAGGTGGACCTGCTGGAGGAGGTCCAGAGAAGGTTCATGAGAATGAATCAGAAGGGTGGAGCACCCCTCCTATAGGATGAGAGTTGAAGCTGTTCAACCTGGAGAAGTTTCTGTGGAGACCTCAGAGTAGCCTTCTATCACGTAAAGGGGGCCTGCAGTAAAGCTAGAGAGGGACTTTATACAAGGACATATACTGACAGGACAAAGGGCAGTGGCTTTAAACTGAAAGAGGGTAGGTTTAGATTCCATATTGGGAAGAAATTCTTTACTGTGAGGATGGTGAGACACTGGAACAGGTTGCCCAAAGAAGTTGTGGATGTCCCATCCCTGGAAGAGTTCAAGACCAGGTTGGACAGGACTTTGAGCAACCTGGTCTCGCAGAAGATGTCCCTGCCCATGTCAGTGGGATTGGAACTGAATGATCTTTAAGGTCCCTTCCAACCTAAACCATTCTATGACTCTGTGACTTGCTGGAAAATTCATAAAATTTTCCAAAAACCTCATGTAACATAAAATATTAAAAAATGTTATGAATTGGTTTTAGTTTTATCCATCTAGAAGAGGTAGGTGAATGTGCAGTACCATGTAAAATTAAAACTTATTTCTGAGCTCTTTTAGATTTCTTTGCAAAGAAAAAATAGACCATGGCAAACCACCACATTACTATATTTACTCTTTTAGATCAGTACAAAAATGGAAATGACCAGCTAAGTAACACTGCTCTGCTCTAAGTTAGTATGCATTACATATGTGAAAGAGATATATTGTTTTTAGTGCTTAAAACAGGAGACAGCGAATCAGTTTCCACCCTCTTCTGCAGCTCATCAAGTTACATATACCCGTATTTTCAAAGTTCATAATTTTGAAGGCCAAAGCTTGAGCTGCTGAGAATAAAAGTTGGCAGAAAACCATGACATTTGCACTCTGCAGATAAAGCTTCCCTTCTTGTACCAAGTTCACAAACGTGTTTTCCCTGTGTTAGAACTATCCTGAAAATGGGGAGCAGTAGGATTAGTTTCTACTACAACAGAGTACCCACTCCTAAGAAATAGAAGTTAAGCCTTGCCCAATTTACTTTAGACCACATAAGGGCTCATCTCCTCTAGTTTTTGCAACGTTAGGATAACAATAACTATTTCTTAAAAAGCAATCTGTGTATCTTGGAGTCATCAGCACATTGTGTTAAGTATAGCATAAAGCATCTTATTATCTTCCAAAGAAATTTCATTTTCATAGCAGAACATTTTTTTAAAAATAAGAGTTTAAAAAGTGGATTTTTTTCTCTATTATGAAAAAAAAAAAGATTTATTCCTTACTGCTCCTTCAATTTAATTAAAAGGATTAATTTAATTAAATTAAAGCAAATCACTATGTAAATAACTAGAAAATGTAAAATCTCACAATGTGCTGCTGTAGTTTAGCCCTGTAGAGTATCAGGACCAGTTGTTGGTAGTTGATGAGCTAAGAAAATTCAGAACACCTGGAAAAGCTAAGAAGCAGATAGTGCCGGATTTTTATTACTTTGCATTCTCACCGTATTTTTTGTTTGCTATCAACTTGTCAGCATCTACGAAAAAAATACTAAGACATAAAATTTATCTTTCTATCTATTAACCAATTACTTCTAGTTACATTGCTATGAATGAAAGTACAGTGGCCACTGATGTCTTCTAAAACATTTTAAACAGCAAGAAAACAGCAAAAAAAACTTGTTATGGAGTAACTTTCTTTGGAGGGAAAGAAAAAGCTTCTAATGTGTATCTATCAATAATGAATTCTGTAACTCACAAATTCAAATCTCAACTGTAGGCAGAGAATACTAAAGTTTTCAATATTTAATTAAGATGCTTCTTCTAAAAGCTTAAGTGGAATCATCTAATTAAAAAAATGCTAATGTGGAGGTATAGCCTTTCCTTGTCAAAGCGATATATCTTATTCCTTCTTCTACATCTTTCTGGTTTAGTTTTGTTTTTTTTTTTTAAGACAGACAATACCTTACCTGAATGACCTTGACTGCTATGAATAAAATATTGGAAATATCACCATGCATACAAAAGTATAACAGCTGGGAATAATTAGGTGGTATCAGTTAGAAATGTTTCAATAGCAAGTCGAAATAAGCATTTAGCTGCACACAACCAGTTTTAAGGTAGTAGGATTTATTCTTCATTCCAATACAATCAATCAGTTAGTTTTAAGAGTGAACTTCATCTTTTCTTTTTTAAGAATAAAAGTCATTGGCACTTCAACAGGAATACCAACTCCTGCGGCACTTTACTTGGCTTTATTTTTGGTACTAAAAACGGAAGCAGCTAGGGGGAAATTATGGGCACACGACACTGATTTGTTCTGATATTGTTTATATAAAGCATCAAATATCTTTTAAACAGAACTCTTGCCAGTTTACTTCAAACCAAATTAACCTATTAGCAAAACGCCGTTATTTTACACAAATGCAGTAAAAGTTTAAGCCTGAAAGAGCTTACAATTTATTCTGGAACAAAACAAAATGCTCGTGACCGGAAAAGGGGAAAATAAAAGAAGTACATCAGGGAGGTTTTGTGCTTTGACTTTAAATGTTATGCTACATGGAAACCAAACTAAAAGTAGAGGTTCTAAATTCCAACCGAAAGTGTAACAGTGTACTAAAGAGATTTCAGGCCAGAAGAGTTAAAAACTTAACTCTCAAAAATATATTCATTCCTATCAATGCCCGATAAAATAGTCAGTAATATCAAAGATTAGCATAGTTAGTACTACAGTGGCAGAAATTATAGATGTTTATATACTACTAATGTTACATACACTCAGCTTTCTTTTTAAGAGTAAAAAAAAAATCCATCAATACAGTAATACAACTATTGCTGACTTTAGCAAGCTATTCTGGTTTAAATACGCTAAGAACCCACTTCACTATACCTTTGCTGTAGCAAAATATCACCGACCAGATCCTACAGTACACATACTTCTTTTATCTGCAGGTAAAACCTAAACATTTTCAAGGTGTAGTTTGAAGATTAAACACGGAAGCATCCAAACTAAGTTTCACACCTGTTATTGACACTGTAGAATTTTACAGAACAGTGACTGAAATGTCTGCTTTGAGCTCAGCTGCAACTTCGGAACAGAGTTGGATACAATTCATCCACCTACATGCGGTATCTTTACCTGCGGTATCCCTGCTCAAGCTCAGCACCCCCTGCGCTCCCTGTGCACCCCGTAGCGTCATTCACCTCGGGTCGGGGCAGGTTGCCTCGGCCCGTGCGGGGCCGGCTCTGACTCCCATCCCTTTCAGGCGGGCCCCCGGGCCGCTCCAGCGCTTCCCTTCTTACAGCCCCGCATGAACCATCACCCCTGCCTAAGCAGGTACGCTTCCCCGCCTCTGGCACACACCCGGGGGAAGGAAATCCCTGCGCAGGGAGACGCGCCGCACCTCTCAGGGCACCCATGGGCCGAAAAGGCCAGGTGGGGGGAACCCCCAGGAGCGAGGGGCGCACAGCTCCCCCGCTCCCCTCAGGTTTGGGGGGCGCGCACTCACGCGGGGCGCCGCGGGATGCCGGCCGCCTCGTCGCCCTCTGCCGCCGCCGCCTCCTCCCCGATGTCGGGCAGGGTGATGAGCAGCCCCTTGGCGCCCGCCCGCCCCCCGGGCTCCTTGTCCGCCGCGACTGGAGCCGGGCGAGGGGGCCGGCCGCCCCTGCCTGCGGAGCGGCCCCCGCCGGACTTGGGGCACGGGCTGGGGGCCGGCGGGGCGCGGCACTGCCTGGCCGGGAGAGCGCCCGGACCCGGCTCCGCCACCTTCATGGCGGCGGGCGGGAGCCCCTTCCCGGCGCCACAGGTACGGCTTGGGGGGGCCGCCTCCGCCGGGAGCTGCCGCCGCCGCCTGCGGCCCGGCAGGCGTTGCTAAGCGAAACAAACCCCGGCGGGCACGCACCGCCCCGGGCGGGGAGCACCGCGCCGGCCGAGGGCCCGAGAGCCGCCCCTGCGAGCGCAGCGCAGCGACCTGGTGCGGCCTGCGGGCCGGCGAAATACAGAGGGGCTTCCCCTCCGGTTAGAATCCCACCTAATATTAAGGAGCAGAAACCAAGACCATGCGCCAGGGCAGCAGGGCCCCACTTCACGCATCTGTGGGCAGAGAGGGTGTAACAGAAGTGGGGAGGCAGAGTGACCCCACCCAGCACACCTGTATCAGACATCGAAGGCAGCGGTTGGGGACCAATACGTGCCTCTAAAAATGGTCCCAATCATCCCATGCAGTTTGGAGAGCAGTAGAGGGTGTCCAGATGAATGGCCTTTCTCTCTTTTGCTAAAAAGTCCCCACAGCAGTGACACAAGCCAGGCAGCTGGAGGCACACAAGTGGGGACATGGCAAATCTTTCCAACTTTGGCCTAGATTTCCAGCATTGGATTCTTGCCCAGATGGAGAGAAGTGTGACAGCTCCAGCAGCAGTTGGGGAACACTGTAATGGTTGGTATCATAGAGAGGACAAACGTTTTGCCAGCTTGGAATACAACAGGTAGAGCGGCCCTTGGCAGTGTCCAAAAGAACAGCAGAGGCTGAAGGTTAGCAGAGCTGCTTTATAAGTATGAGCCTCAGGATCACACATCAGGCAACGAGTTACACTATCAATTTAAGGTTGGCAGCTACTAGTACATGAAAACCAAGGGCATAAAGTGGGGGATTTTATGCCTGTCTTGTCTTCCTAGCACATCAAGGAGTGCAATACACTGACAGAGCACATGGAACACTAAGTAGAGGAGTGAGATTTGAAATTGGAATATTCTTAACCTTTTTCTTACAAGCTAGAATAAACACGTTCTGATGAAACCTCAGGGAATAGGTGCACATAAACCTAAGAGCAGCACAATCTGTGTTTATTCCTACCATGCCAAAAAGCCCTGAGTCGCAGTGAAAGTAGCATAATTGAGGTCATTGGTGTGTAGTATATTTATTTCAGCTGCAGCCCCTGCATGAAGACCTGGAATAGATCCTATTGTGAACATCACTGTAACTTGTTCATTACTCCCTGTGTCCTGGGGATGGGGGTAAGGAAGGGCATGGCTAGGACCCTGAGATAATTCTATACCAACTCATGTCATGTACAGGGAGCAAAGGGGAGTGGGGATAGGGGGAAAAGGAGTCCCTTCTGGTTGGGTAGTGTGAAGCAACCGGTTTGGGTAACATTGTAAGCACTTGTATGTGAATCAATCCCTCTTGTACACTCTGTTATTAATATTGTTTCTGTTACTGTTAGTTTTTTATTTCACTGCTGTTTGCAGTAAATTGTCCTTATCTCAACCCGTGATCTTTACCTTTTGTGCCTCCAATTCTTCTCTCCAGCCCACCGAAGGAGGGTGGGGAACAAGCAGTTTAGAGTGTTTCAGTGGTGACACTAAACTGGGGAACACCATTCCTAAACCATGACTCCCTCTCATTCAAGATCCACAGAAACAGTCAGGTTCCACCCCAAAGCTCCAGATCTGAGCATTCTACCTTGCTCAAGCCCTTTACATATTCTGCCTTCAATACAAATGATTTCTCTTTAGTCCTAGGTAGTATCTTTGTCATTACAAGTTTGGAACTACTTCTCATGTATTTGGTGTTCAACTCCTCAGCAAATCAGCATAATATAATGTGAGGCTGCCCACTGCAAAGAAACTCAGACAGCTCAGATATAGACTGTAAATCCTGAAAGCACTTAAAACTCTTAGCCATGGTAAGCCCATTTATGTATTCTCAGTAGTATTGTCAAACAAATGTACAGGAGCAGGGCAGGAGTAGGTAACTTCCAGACAAACAGGGAAAATGTATGTGAAAATTTTGTCTGGTACAACTGATAACCACCAGCCCTGTCCTTATTGCCCTTTCTTTTTTTAAAACATTAGTCTAATTCCCATTATGAGCCTTTATAATGTCTTTTTGTGCAGGAAATTACTTTAAAGTGAATCTATGTATTAAAATAACAATTTAGAAATCATAATCATATTTTTATCATTACACTCAGCAGCAAGCACTTTTAGTTTGTATTCTTAGCTATATTACAAAACTAAGCATCCATAAATTTTTTTTTCATGTTCTGAAAACAACTTTGGGGGCATTTGTAGTAAGTAAAAAAAATTTTATAGAATTTACACATGCTGTCATTTGCAAGGCTTTAAGGGTCAGAAAAAAACATTTTATCATACAGTCTGACCTCTTGTATCACATTTCACCTCAGCATTTCTCCATGCATTCTCTGCATTTTTATGTCATTTTTAATATCCATGTGAACTGCTAACATTTTTGAAACTATTTATATTGATGTGGAAAGAGAAATTCTGCTGCTATGTGTCAGTACAGATTTAGGAAACATAGGAACCCTTTCACATGTTAGTCTTTAAATAAAAGAAACAACAAATGACATGGTGCATACCTGGCATGCCATCCCTACCAACTTGCCTCCTCAATTTTCATGGCCTGAGCATAAAGAAAGAATTTGTCACTTGCCTGAAAAGGGCAGAAAGATGAGATGAAAGCATCACAAAAGGGATAGTCCTATTACTGTAATTACGGAATCATCATCTATCACTTCAGCTGTAAACAAAGCCTTTCTGTCTTCACTCAAGACTTGTAAGCAAGTGAGGACATCTCCATCCCTTTCACTATTCCAGTGCATGCAAAACCTATTTTATTAATTATTTGTCTCAGTTAGGTTTTTATCATCATGGGACATAAGAAACCCATTAAAACCCAGTGTTTTTCATCTATGCATAAAACAAATCAGGAGAGAAGCTGTTTAAAATGTTAAGTACAGAACTATATACAAGCTGTTTTCTAAACCAGTGAAACAACATTCCTGTAGTAATAGTGGTATTGAAATTGATGAAGGATATGCTAGGGGAAAAATTTAAAAAATATTTTAAAATATTCCTGAGCTATTGAAGGATCACACACCTACCAAAAGTTGACACAGTTTTATAAAGTCCTTATAGCAACAATTAAATATTAACAAAAATATACAAATTACTATCTTGTGTCTAATTTACAATAAATTCTGCTCAGACACACCATAACATTTTGACCAGTCTTAAACATTATAAACATCCTTTCAGAGCACATTTTGCTCAGTCTCAGCTCTCTCCAGATCAAGCTGGTAGTTCATATGTTTGAACCTTAATGCCCTGGTGACTGCCAACTAGCCCACGTTTCTGTAAAGTATGTTAAGGAAAAAAAGCAAACTAGATTAATGTACAAGAAAATATTTTTTTTAGCTATCAAAGGCAAAACTATGTATAGTCATGAAGAAAAAGGGAACAAAAAATTTGAAATTTCTCTACTTTTGACATTTTCTCCCACTCCACCTGTAGCTGTTCAGAAAAAATAAAGTTTCTGATACCAACTGAAACTATTTCTTTGAGGGGGAGGTTATGGTTTTTTGGTTCTTTCACCAGTAACAAAATTTTTGGTAATGAAATTACAGTAGCACCGCTTTCTTCACAAAGTTGTCTTCTAGTTATACTATACAAATATCTATGTCTTTACTCATTTTATACAGGTGCAGCAGCTGTGCCTCGGCTACCTTTCACATCGATTTCAGTTTCTATTTACAGGCCCGCAGACGGGTTTACATGCATTAAAAGAATAAAGGTGACATCTGTAAGTCCAAATGTCCTTCTGCCAGCTGTCTGAATTTCAGCAGGGAAGAGCAAAATTTTTTTTTTCCTGACACCGAATTGATTAAATCAGTTGCCTCATCAGCCTGAAAGTCAATTTTCATAGTCACCAGTATTAGCCCCACCCAGAAGGCATAAGCAAATCCTTCACTGCATGTTCTGACTAGCCTGTTCACAGGGCCTAGTGATTTTCTCTTAAAACAAAAATTTTAAAACTCACTTAGAAACTGCTGCTTCTTGATTTGAACTACAGAAGTAACCTTCCATGTTACTTACTGTGTTTCACAAGGAAAGCTTTCCAGTTTTAGTTTCACTGAATCTCCATTTGTGTTACGAAAGCAAGTAGCGTCCACTCTACCATCTACACAGAATTTTCTGGTTTTATCATTAATGCATTCTCTTTTGCATATCCCCTTAGAGTTTATGTCTTTCCTACATCAGATGGGCATTTTTCCTAGAACATCAGTCATTCTCACTGCATTTCAGAATTTCTACCTCATTTTTAATACACTGACTGAAATGACTATCAATCATGATCCATTTTAACATCAGTGCAGCTGAGTTAAAATATCAGCAAAAATATGAACATAGACAAGTAAATTTAAATTATAGCGATTCTAACGTATCTTTCCAGCATGAGAAACCTTTTCAGATGTTCATGAAGGCTTGTTAGTTTTCCAGTGACAGAAAATATACAATAAAATAACCCCATAATTCAAATCTGTACTTTCAAAAATCAGTGCACTTTACTATTAGATTTAAGTGCCATCAATAATTGCTGATGAAATGCACTGACTCGTTCTCTCTGGGCTGGCCAGTTCAAGATGCAACGAGATCTGAACATTCCTCTTCTCAGGTGAAGTGCATGATACAACTTGAAATCCTGGATATCATCAAGAAAGATCAGTATGATGGAGTCCCGACTTTGCTCAATAGCTTGCTGAAGAGCATGATACACCTTGAATCTAAAGAAAAAAACAAGACAAAAAAAAGTGGGGTTTTTTCATGTGGGGAAAAAAAATACAAACAGTTCTTAAGAGGTGTCTTAATGTCTATTTTGTAATACAGAATGGTCATTACTCTTCTTAAA